CAGAATCCAACAGCACATTAAAAGGATCATACACCATGATCAAGTGAGGTTTATTCCAGGAATGCAAGTATTCTTCAATATACACAAATCAATCAATGTGATACACCAAATTAACAAATTAAGGAATAAAAACCATATGAGCATCTCAGTAGATGCAGAAAAAGCTTTTGACAAAATTCAACACCCATTTATGATAACAACTCTCCAGAAAATGGGCATACTCTATGACCCTACCTCAATATAATAAAAGCCATATATGACAAACCCACAGCAAGCATACTCAATGGTGAAAAACTGAAAGCACTTCCACTAAGATCAGGAACAAGACAAGGATGTCCACTCTCACCACTCTTATTCAACATAGTTTTGGAAGTCCTAGCCACGGCAATCAGAGAAGAAAAAGAAATAAAAGGAATACAAATTGTAAAGGAAGCAGTGAAACTGTCACTGTTTGCAGATGTCATGATACTATACATAGAAAATCCTAAAAATGCCACGAGAAAGCTATTAGAATTAATCAATGAATTTGGTAAGGTTGCAGGATACAAATTTAATGCACAGAAATCTCCAGCATTCCTATACACCAATAATGAAAAATCAGAAAGAGAAATTAAGGAAACACTCCCATTTATCATTGCAACAAAAAGAATAAAACACCTAGGAATAATCCTGCCTAAGGAGTTGAAAGACTTGTACTCAGAAAACTATAAAACACTGATGAAAAAAATCAAAGGTGACATAAACAGATTGAGAAATATACCATGTTCTTTGGTTGGAAGAAAAAACATTGTGAAAATGACTGTACTACCCAAAGCAATCTACAGATTCAATGTAATCCCTATCAAACTACCAATGGTATTCTTCATAGAATTAGAACAAAAAATTTTACAATTCATATGGAAACACAAAAGACCCTAAATAGACAAAGCAATCTTGAGAAAGAAAAACGGAAGTGGAGGAATCAGGCTCCCCGACTTCAAACTATACCACAAAACTATAGTAATTAATACAGTATGGTACTGGCACAAAAACAGAAATATAGATCAGTGGTACAGGATAGAAGGCCCAGAGATAAACTCACACACATATGGTCACCTAATTTACAACAAAGGAGGCAAGAACATACAATGGAGAAAAGACAGCCTCTTCAATAGGTGGTGCTGGGAAAACTGGACAGCTACATGTAAAAGAGTGAAATTAGAACACTGCCTAACACCATACACAAAAATGAACTCCAAATGGATTAAAAACTTAAATGGAAGACCAGACACTATAAAAGTCTTAGAGGAAAACATAGGAAAAACACTCCTTGACATATACCACAGCAAGATCTTTTTTGATCCATCTCCTAGAGAAATAGAAATAAAACCAAAAATAAACAAATAGGACTTAATTAAAAGCTTTTGCACAGCAAAGTAAACCGTAAACAAGACAAAAAGACAACCCTCAGAATAGGAGGAAATATTTGCTAATGAAGCAACAGAGAAGGATTAATTGCCAAAATATAAAAAACAGCTCATGGAGCTCAATATCAAAAAGACAAACAACCAAATCCAAAAATGGATGGAAGACCTAAATAGACATTTCACCAAAGAAGACATACAGATGGCCAAGAGGCACAGGAAAAGATGCTCAACATCACTAATTATTAGAGAAATGCAAATCAGAACTACAATGAGATATCACCTCACACTGGTGGTCAGAATGGCCATTATCAAAAAAATCTAGAAACAATAAATGCTGGAAAGGGTGTGGTGAAAAGGGAACCGTCTGGCACTGTTGGTGGGAATGTAAATTGATACAACCACTATGGAAAACAGTATGGAGGTTCCTTAAAAAACTAAAAATAGAACTACCATATGACCCAGCACTCCCACTCCTGGGCATATACCCTGAGAAACCATAATTCAAAAAGAGACATGTACCACAATGTTCACTGCAGCACTATTTACAAACGCCAGGACGTGGAAGCAACCTAAGTGTCCATCAGCAGATGAATGGGTAAAGAAGGTGTGGTACACATATACAATGGAATATTGCTCAGCCATAAAAAGAAAAGAAATTGAGTTATTTGTAAAGATGTGGGTGGACCTAGAGTCGGTCATAGTGAAGTGAGAAAGAGAAAAACAAATACCGTATGCTAACGCATATATGTGGAATCTAAAAAAAAAAAAATGGTACTGATGAACCTAATTGCAGGGCAGGAATAAAAATGTAGATATAAAGAATGGACTTGAGGACACAGGGTGGGAGGGGGAAGCTGGGGCGAAGTGGGAGTAGCATCAACATGTATACACTACTGAATGTAAAAAGCTAGTGGGAAGCAGCTGCATAGCACAGGGAGATCAGCTCGGTGCTTTATGATGGCCTAGAGGGGTGGGATAGGGAGGATGGGAGGGAGACGCAAGAGGGAGGGGATATGTATGCATATGGCTGATTTATTTTGTTGTACAACAGAAACTAACAGTATTGTGAAGCAATCATACTCCAATAAATATCTATTAAAAAAATGTAAGAGGCCTACTAGGTTGACCAACCATCCAAGTTTGCCTGGGACTGTTCAGTTTTAGCATTAGGAGTCTTACACCCCAGAAAATGCCCCAGAACTGGACACACCGAGACAGCTAGTCACCCTAGGCCTACCAGGCATGGTGCTTCCTCCTTTGTGGTGGGAAGCGCAAGATGTAGTAATTTGTCCTTCACTTTAGAGGGGATATAGTGGCATGTCCGAGACCACTGGACCCCTAAAATCTTCACAGATGGGGCAGGACCCTGCATCTTCTCAGTTTATCTCCCCAGCCTCTGGAATTCAATACTTTAAGAAGGCCTCCAATATACTTGTTGCTTCTTGCTCATCCATTCAAAGTGAGATTAATGTAGAGGACTAATGTGGTGTTAGTCCAATAACATTGGTTATTGATCAGATCCAAACACTGGGTTTACCTGTGCCTGCAGTAAAATGTCCAGGACTCCTAATCCTTGACCAGCTGCCTTTATCTACCATCTCAGATTTCAAAGGGACTCTGCAGAGTAGAACATTCTTAAGACAAATGCTCACACTTCAGTACTAGTGCTAGGAGATTTGTAAAATATATAGAATGTGCACTCATGTTCTAGGTTTATTTCAGGAAAAGGTTTAATATATCATCATTTTGGTGCATCCAAGAACACTGAGGCATAATCAATAATCTCTAACTACATTTTAAGTTAAAAAAATTGATTCAGTACTTTAAAAATTATTTAAAATAATGATTATCTATCATCATTTTTTAATTTCTTTGTTTCCTATGACATAATTTTGATCTCCTTTTTTCTTTTGTATCTGTCTGGTGAATAATCTATTTGGGGAAACTTGAGTTATAACAGGTGTCATGAAATAGAAATGTTACCTCTGCAATTTAAAATCCATTTTCTTTCATTCCAGAAGTTTATTTTTGAGATATCTGCCTTGCAATGTCAGACTATGTAAATGTCTTTGTGACTTAGGAAACAAATGTGCCACTGACTGACATGATTGAATTGTAGAATAAATTTCCTTCTCCCTTTTCATCTTTATTAGGACTGTGTCTAGACTGTGAGATGGCACCACCCATTTTGTGTTGCAGAGATCTGTCTGAGGCCAGGAGGGACCTTTGATAAGTCACAGACCCAGAATGGCTTGAGCATGCTGGTCCATTAAAAATACCTTAGGGGCTACCCTGGTGGCGCAGTGGTTGAGAGTCCGCCTGCCGATGCAGGGGACACGGGGTCGTGCCCCGGGCCGGGGAGATCCCACATGCCGCGGTGCGCTGGGTCTCAGTTGCAGCATGTGGGATCTTCATTGTGGTGTGAGGGATCTTTAGCTGCGGCATGCTAGATCTTTAGTTGTGGCATGCGGGCCCGTGAGCCATGGCCGCTGAGCCTGCGCGTCCGGAGCCTGTGCTCCGCAACGGGAGAGGCCACGACAGTGAGAGGCCCACGTACCGCAAAAAAAAAAAAAAAACAAAAACCTTAGGGTCTGATAATCCCTGACTTCCATGACAAAATTTGGTCACCTATTTCTTACTGCTTGATGTGCTTTCCAGATTCTTAAACTTTGGCCTCCATTTCCAAGTTAAAACTCTTTTACCTGCCTTTTATAACATTTGGCCTCTTTTATTCTTAAGACTTGATTTTGGCCTTGCACTAAAATGCCAATCCTTACTTCATGGGATCTATTTCTTTTCTGGTATTATGTATCTTCCTATATCCCCGGTTTAGGTCTTACTATGGTTTATGTTGTGTCAGTCACTACCTTATTAACTGAACTACTTAATGGGAAGATTTATAAAAGAGACTGCTCAGGTGGAATTGTGGTGAGCTGTCTGTATGGGACTTGATCTTACAGGGGAAAGTTCTATAGACAATGACTATTTTCGATCCACCCAGCAATGTAGTCCCTCTCCCCTTTATTCCATCCAAATAATGTTTTTATTACTCTTCACTATGTTGATTTCTAGTTGACAGCTGACATCTACTTTTATTCTGGGACATATTGTGGGCTCTTTATGTGATTTAGGTAGAGTTAGTCAGATGTATAATTATTTTCTTTTCTCTTGAAACAAGTTGGGAAAAAACTTGTACTTGCTTAATATTTCTGGCAAGATAATTTTTCTTAGGGAGAGGATTATATTTGGAAAAATACCTGGATAGACACTTGGGGTAGAAAGTTAGAGACCAAAGAGATAGGTGTCAACTGGTGACAGAAAGTGAGGAAAGAGGGCAGACCCACATAAAGGGGGTGAGGACTTATTTGTCATTTTCATGACAGAAGAGGTGATAAGAGAAGGATGGAAGGATAAAGTCCTGGTCTCTGAGAAGAGAAGGTACAAAAGATGAACCCTTAGAGGTAAGGTGAGAGTAAAAACTTTGGAGAGTCAAATGGCTAACAGAGGTTTTCAGGATACATTCTTGTACCATCCACAATGTGAACCCTTCCTAGGAATCTCAGATATTAAACAAATTAAAAATGTTTTGGGGCCGCTGCCGGGTGGAGGGGCCAGGCGAGTGTCCTTATCCTAGCTATTGGGGCTCCGGCCTGTAAGCCAGTTGGAGTCGTGTCGGCGAGAACGATTGGGCCGAGCGGAGAAAGTCATGTTGCTCTTCGTGGAGCAGGTAACATCTAAAGGAACTGGCTTAAATCCTAATGCCAAAGTATGGCAAGAAATACCTCCAGGAAATACTGATGCCACTCCAGTAACTCATGGAACTGAAAGCTCTTGGCATGAAACAGCAGCCACATCAGGGTCTCATCCTGAGGGTAATAGAGAACTTGCAGATGATATGTGTAAGGAATATGAAGTAATGTATTCATCTTGTGAAACCACAAGAACTACTACAGGCATTGAAGAATCAACTGATGGAATGATTTTGGGACCAGAAGATCTGAGTTACCAAATATATGATGTTTCTGGAGAAAGCAACTCAGCAATTTCTACAGAAGAACTAAAAGAGTGTTTGAAGAAACAATTAGAATTCTGTTTCTCACGAGAAAATTTGTCAAAGGATCTTTACCTGATATCTCAAATGGACAGTGATCAGTTCATCCCAATTTGGACAGTTGCCAACATGGAAGAAATAAAAAAGCTGACCACAGACCCTGACCTAATTCTTGAAGTGTTGAGATCTTCTCCCATGGTGCAAGTTGATGAGAAGGGCGAGAAAGTGAGACCAAGTCATAAGCGTTGTATTGTAATTCTTAAGAGAGATTCCTGAAACAACACCAGTAGAGGAAGTAAAAGCTTTGTTTAAAAATGAAAACTGCCCCAAGGTGATAAGCTGTGAATTTGCACACAATAGCAACTGGTATATCACTTTCCAGTCAGACACAGATGCACAGCAGGCTTTTAAATACTTAAGAGAAGAAGTTAAGACATTTCAGGGCAAGCCAATCATGGCAAGGATAAAAGCCATCAATACGTTTTTTGCTAAGAATGGTTATCGATTAATGGATTCTAGTATGTATAGTCCGCCCATTCAAACTCAAGCACAGTATGCCTCACCGGTCTTTATGCAGCCTGTATATAATCCTCACCAACAGTACTCTGTTTATAGTATTGTGCCTCAGTCTTGGTCTCCAAATCCCACACCTTACTTTGAAACACCACTGGCTCCTTTTCCCAATGGTAGTTTTGTGAATGGCTTTAATTCACCAGGATCTTATAAAACAAATGCTGCTGCTGCTGCTGTGAATATGGGTCGACCATTCCAAAAAAATCGTGTGAAGCCTCATTTTAGGTCAAGTGGTTCAGAACACTCAACAGAGGGCTCTGTGTCATTGGGGGATGGACCATTGAACAGATCTGGTTCAAGGAACTTTCCAACTGAACGACATAACCCTACAGTAACAGGGCACCAGGAGCAAAGCTACCTTCCAAAAGAGACTCCCACTTTGCAGATGGAACAGAATGGGGACTACGGTAGGGGCAGGAGAACTCTCTTCAGAGGTCGAAGACGTCGGGAAGATGAAAGGATCCCAAGACCCCATCCTTCAACAGCTGAAGCAAAGGCTCCAACACCAAAGTTTGACTTATTAGCCTCAAATTTTCCTCCTTTACCTGGAAGTTCATCAAGAACGCCAGGTGAACTTGTTTTGGAGAGTAGGATGTCTGATGTTGTTAAAGGTGTCTGCAAAGAAAAGGATAAGGAAGAGTTGAGAGTTAGTTGCCCAGTGACTGCAGAGGATGAACAGACAGACTGCACCTCTGCCCAGCAACTCAGTATGAGCACCAGTCCTCCATGTACAGCTGAGCTTTCTGTATTAAGCACAACTCAGCAAGAAAAGGATCTAATAGAGGATTCTGCTGTTCAGAAAGATGTTCCCAACCAGACAACTATACCAGTTTCTTCCCCGAGTACTGCAAAGCCATTGAGAACAAATACTGCTTCACCGTGTAATAGTAACATAAGTGCAGCTGTAGCTGTGGCCCTACAGGAACCTCGGAAGCTAAGTTATGCTGAAGTGTGCCAGAAGCCCCCTAAAGAGCCATCTCCAGTTCTTGTACAGCCACTGAGAGAACTTCGCTCCAATGCAGTATCTCCCACCAAAAATGAAGAGAATGGAGCTCCTGAGAAGTCCTTCGAGAAACAACATGAGAAGCCAGAAGCAAGGGCTAGTAAGGATTACTCTGGCTTCCGAGGCAATGCCATTCCCAGGGGAGCAGCTGGAAAAATCAGGGAACAGAGACGCCAGTTTGGCCATAGGGCTATACCTCAGGGAGTGACTCGACGTAATGGCAAAGAGCAATACGTGCCACCCAGATCACCAAAGTAAACAAAAACAAAAAAACTGTTCAAAAACTTCTCTCTCTTCCCATTAAACTTGAGCCTGGCTATATTGAACTGTTTTGGAGGGGAGGGCGTGGCCAGGAAGGAAACAAGAGAAAGTACATCCTTAAATCATTATGGGTTTTGGAGTTGTGAGCTATAGAATCCCAAAATTCATCTCGAAAGTGATTTTAAAATGCTGGAGGATTCCAATCAGTATAAATATATATATATATATATATGTATACATATATAAAAATATAATTTTTCTATTTTTGTTTTTGATTTTAATTTGCAGAGATCTTCTGCCTGGAATCAATTTTGAGGGTTCAGATTTAGCTTGGGAGAAAAACACATTATACATCCTTCAGTATAGGAGATGAGGGAGTGAGAGAAAATATTTTTTGAAGAAACATTTCTGTAAAATTAGAAATTACTTTTTTTAATCTATTTAAAGTTTGGCTTGGAGAATGCCATTTCTGCCTATATGGCCTTGTGTTGCAAAACAGATCAGTGGCTGGGGTGACTGTTGTGGTGTGAGTGTGTGCAAGTATGATTGAAGCCAAATCTGTTGTCATGTTAGTAAATGATTTGAAAACTGAATGTAATACTTGAGTAGATTTTTTTTTTTTTCCAGTTTGAAATTTAGTCTGTCTTTTTGATCTTACTAATATTTCATTCAACAAGCTGTTAAACTCTGATTGTACTTGGGGATGTGACTACCAATCAGTTTGATACTCAAGGAAAGAATGGGGGTTATTTGAAAAATTAAAATTTTGTGTTATATCTGAGGGGGTGGGTCAAATGGAGCTCAGAGGTTTAAGCTGCCCTGTGATTTTTCTTCCCCCCCTAAAATAGGAAACGATTTCTTTTTTTTTGTTGTTACTTTCTTCATTACTCTGTTCTTTGACTATCCACCCCCAAAAGCAAAATAACCAATCACCTACAGAATTGTATGTTTCTAGCTGCCTCGCTCAGTCTAGTCAAATCATATAACTGTTCGAAATTTCTGACTTGAACATTAAAGTATTTTACTCTTCTGGTCATGTATTTAGAACTTTAGATCCCAGAATGATAGGGCAGACTGACCCTACAGTAATTTATTTGTGTTAGTGTTAAAGATGAAACATTGTAGCTGACTCTTAAAGTGTTAAATAGTATAGATGTAAAAAGAAATTTCTTTTTAAAGGTTTAATTTGGGGACAACTTTTTCTGTTTACAATGTATTTATCACCTTCCTTCTTTCCCTTTCTCAAAAAAAAAAAAAAAAAAGCAGTTTGGAATTCACAGAAACAGAACCAGCAAGTCACAAAATTTTTGAGTTAAGGTTAGAAAGATAGTTAAAATTAACATATAATTTCTTAGTGGATAAAGTTGTAGCTCTCACATTAAATAGGCAAGTTTACATGCTGGTGTTTAGAAAATGGCTAAAAAATTAAAAACCATGTTGCATTAATCTGTTTTAAGTCATACCATTTTCAGAGTTCTATGTAAGGTGGGGTTTTGTTTTCTTTTTAGGGATAGTTTGTGATAGTAATAACTGTCCCTTATGTTAGTGAATTACATATGTACAAATTGAAACTGTAAATTGTGAACACTGGAAAGCACCATTGTGACATAGAGTAAACATCTTAGTAATATATTAAAATGAATGTAAATGAGGGTTAAAATTACATTACTGTGAAACTCATCTTCCAACTCTAAGTTAAGCTTTGGAGATTTGTATTAGTAGGTAACTGTTCAGAGCTTTGAAAACACCGCACATTTCTGTACAAGCCAGAATTATCATTTCTTTGTAACTTATTATTCAGCTTGGCAATTGCTTTTGATTTGGTGGATTGATAACATGATATAATATATTTAAGCAGTTTGAAACTATTCATTTCTACACACTATTTTCTACTAAATGAAACATACCATAAAACTACCTGTGCTGAAATTTGGGGGAAGTTTAGGTCCTTTAAAAAAAAAAAGTATTAATAATCACTGACTACATCTATGATAAAAGTGCTTATTTTGGTTTACTTAGATAATGCTGCAGCTGGTGGAAATGATAAACGTTTAAAGTGTTAACACTCTGTGAATGTATTGGATTTAAGAGAATAAACATTTTACAAAAATCGCTTGGTAAGGATTATAAACTTAATTATTGCACTTAGATGAAACAGTACTTTTTTTTTTTTTACAATGTGTCACAGAAATAGGCCTATATTACTTGTATCCTTGTATGACTTGCTGTTAGTCTACCCAACTTCTAAAAACTAAATGTTCTAATTGATACACAAGAAAAGAGTTCTTTTTCAAGAAAGCAAGTGTGTTCTTGCTTTTTCCCAGAAGGTGTTATTGAAAGTAGAAATTTAAAGGCATGACCATTTTAAAATTTCATATTAAATATAATGTTTTTCGGTTAAAAAAAAAAATGTTTTGGGTAAGAATATATAGGCTTTTTAAATGAAAAACCACAGATGAACTGATTTGTCTAAGATGATTGAGTATGTTGAAGTGTCAGGTGAGGAAATGACTCCTGAGAAGTGGAGAAAACACAACAGGGATTTCCAAATCTAACTGCCTTGGAGAAGTGTTGTAGTCCTGAAGGCCGGAAACTGCATGAGATGAGGCAATTTTACCCAGATCTCAAGAGGCTGAAAACTCCAACTGATATATGTATTATAGCCTGGATATTGAATAAGAGGCTTAAGCTTCTGAGTAGTAACCTTTGGGCCAAGAAATCAGAAACACATTGATCTAAATATGGAGACTTTCAATTGCCAATTTGTTGGTGTTAATTAAGAACCCACAAGATCATCAGGGAGGCCCCTGAGGAGTCATTTCTCTTTACTACGGGAAAAAGTTGGGCTCATTGCTCTTCTTTCTCCTGTTACTCTACTCCCTGTTCATTACGAAACATGTGCTATTATGGTGATGGGAAGGGGAGAGGGCATGATGAGGATGGGTCTTGAAATGCACCGGGAAAGAATGCAGAGGTTTAACCATCTAAGTCTGTTATTCAAACTCTAGATTTGGGATTAAGATATTGAGTTGTCTGCTCTCATGATGCAAATGTGCCTTCACATGAGCTCTGTAAAATTTTCTAGCTTCTGTGGGTTTGACTAACTTCTAACACTGAGAATTTTTTAAAAATTTATTTGTTTTATTTATTTATTTCTGGCTGCATTGGATCTTCGTTGTGGTATGCGGGGTTCTCATTGTGGTGGCTTCTCTTGTTGTGGAGCACGGGCTCTAGAGCGCAGGCTCAGTAGTTGTGGCACACGGGCTTAGTTGCTCTGTGGCATGTGGGATCTTCCCGGACCAGGGCTCGAACCCGTGTCCCCTGCATTGGCAGGTGGATTCTTAACCACTGCGCAACCAGGAAACCCTAACACTGAGATTTGATTCAACAAATTTGCTTCACATCTGCCATGTGAAAAGCACAGAAGAAAGACTCTGGAAGTAAATAAGACAGAGGAAGAGAGACATTCTTGCTGGAGAGCTCAGAGAAGTCACCAAGGAGAACAAGGATTTTGGACCTGTGGCAACTGGCGCAATTGACTGGATGTTAAGGGGAATGGTGGGAGTTGAAGCCACCAAGGTAGGCAGAGTTATCAACTTCATCTTTAGAATTCTGTTTTGAGATTTAAATTTTTGTTTACAGCTCAGGTTTCTACTTGCATTCCTCTTTTATTCAAAGGAAAAAAGTCATCAATTAGCATAGTGTTACACACGCTCATGAATAAAATCTTCTGGGGCGAATGATTAAAGAGGTTTGCATAAACACACATGGATGTTGAAAGCATGAATTACACATTACAGCTCAAAACCAAATCTGTGCTCTTCACGTCTTAGGGATGGATTTTGATAGTTTTTATGTAGTTTGGTGTAGTTTCAGAAGGTTAGGGAGAGATGAACTATTTTTTTTCTTCTTCTAATTCAGGTGATTAAATTATTGCCTATAAAAACATGATTTCTTTTGGCTAGGATATTTTGTTTGCTCAAAACAGGCCTTTGGAAGGTAAGTTGAGTACCAGCTCACTCTCTCGGGGCCCTTCCGATACTTCTGATGTGGATTACTTGGCATCAGGGATCCCAGAGGCGGCAGTCCTGAAAAAGAGAGGCTGTGGGTAGGCTTAGGCCAATGAAATACCGCAGCAGCTCTGGGTGTCCTGGGACTTCTCACCCTCTTTGTGCCAATTGATTAGAACTTTGAGAGGATGGACTGTCCTCTGGCCAGAATGTTGAGAACAAAGTTGTCCTTTGCACATGTGAGTAGGAAAATGGAGCCCAAACCCTAACAAGTGATCAATATCACTGACCAATTTAATGGCTTGACTTCCTATCCCCCTCCCAAGTTTGAGCCATCTCTCTGGGACTGGATCCTGGAAGAACATGGCTCCCATCTATCATCCTCCCTTAGGCAGACATAGACACAGACAGAGATGAAGTCTATGATGTGAGAACCAGTTTTAGTAAATCCATCACTTAAAGTACTATTGTGGTCTGGCTATGATGAATAACTCTTTGTTACTTGAAAAACCGTACATCTTAGTGAGAATTATCATTCTGTTAAATTCCTTTTTTAAAAAAATTGGCGTAAAATTGCTTTATAATGTTGTGTTATTCTGCTGTAAAATGAAGTGAATCAGCTGTATGTATACCTACATCTCCTCTCTCTTGGACCTCCCTCCCACCCATCCAGGTCGTCACAGAGCAATGAGCTGAGCTGCCCTGTGGTATACAGCAGGTTCCCACTAGCTATCTATCTTACACATGGTACTGTATTTATGTGAAACCTAATCACCCAATTTGTCCCACCCTCCCTTTCCCACTCTGTGTCCACATGTCCGTTCTCTAGGTCTACATCTCTATTCCTGTCCTACAAATAGGTTCATCTATACCATTTTCCTAGATTCCACTTATATGTGTTAATATATGATATTTGTTTTTCTCTTTCTGGATTACTTCGCTCTGTATGACAGACTCTAGGCCCATCCACATCTCTACAAATGACCCAATTTCGTTCCTTTTAATGGCTGAGTAATATTCCATTGTATATATGTACCATATCTTCTTTATCCATTCATATATTGTTGGACATTTAGGTTGTTTCCATGTCCTGGATATTGTAAATAGCACAGCAGTGAACACCGGGGTACATGACTCTTTTTGAATTATGGTTTTCTCAGGGTATATGCCCAGGAGTGGGATTGCTGGGTCATACCATAGTCCTATTTTTAGTTTTTTAAGGAACCTCCATACTGTTTTCCATAGTGGCTGTATCAATTTACATTCCCACCAACACTGCAAAAGGGTACCCTTTTCTCCACACCCTCTCCAGCATTCATTGTTTGTAGATTTTTTGATGATGGCCATTCTGACCTGTGTGAGGGGATACCTCATTGTAGTATTGACTTGCATTTCTCTAATAATTAGTGATGTTGAGGATATTTTCCTGTGCCTCTTGGCCATCTGTATGTCTTCTTTGGTGAAATGTCTATTTAGGTCTTCCGCCCATTTTTGGATTGGGTTGTTTGTCTTTTTGATATTGAGCTCCATGAGCTGTTTGTATATTTTGGTGATTAATCCTTTGTCAGTTGCTTCATTAGCAAATATTTTCTCCCATTCTGAGGGTTGTCTTTTTGTCTTGTTTATGGTTTCCTTTGCTGTGCAAAAGCTTTTAAGTTTAAGTCCTATTTGTTTATTTTTGTTTTTATTTCTGATACTCTAGGAGGTGGGTCAAAAAGATCTTGCTGTGGTTTATGTCAAAGAGTGTTTTTCCAGTTTTCCTCTAAGAGTTTTACAGTGTCTGGTCTTACATTTTAAGTCTTTAATCCATTTTGAGTTTATTTTTGTTATGGTGTTAGGTAGTGGTCTAATTTCATTAGCTCTTCTCTAAATGTTTGATAGAATTCGCCTGTGAAGCCATCTGGTCCTGGACTTTTGTTTGGTGGAAGATTTTAAATTATAGTTTCAATTTCATTACTTGTGATAGGTCTGTTTATATTTTCTAATTCTTGCTGGTTCAGTCTTGGAAAATTGTACCTTTCTAAGAGTTTGTCCATTTCTTCGTGGTTGCTCATTTTATTGGCATATAGTTGTTTGTAGTAGTCTCTTATAATCCTTTGTATTTCTGCTGTGTCAGTTGTGATTTCCCCTTTTTCATTTCTAATTTTATTGTGTCCTCTTCCCTTTTTTCTTGATGAGTCTGACTAAGGGTTTATCAATTTTATTTATCTTCTCAAAGAACCCACTTTTACTTTTATTGATCTTTGCTGTTGTTTTCTTTGATTCTATTTCATTTATTTCTGTTCTGATCTTTATGATTTCTTTCCTTCTATTGACTTTGGGTTTTCTTTGTTCTTCTTTCTCTAGTTGTGATAAGTATAGGGTTAGATTGTTTATTTGAGATTTTTCTTGTTTCTTGAGGTGAGATTGAATTGCTATAAACTTCCCTCTCAGAACTGCTTTTGCTGCATCCCATAGGTTTTCGGTCATTGTGTTTTCATTGTCATTTGTTTCTATGTATTTTTTTATTTCTTCTTTGATTTCTTCAGTGATCTCTTGGTTATTTCATGGCACACTGTTTAGACTCCATTTATTTGTGTTTTTTACATTTTTTTTCCTGTAATTGATTTCCACTCTCATAGCATTGTGGTCAGAAAAGATGCTTGATATGATTTCAAATTTCTTAAATTTTCTGAGGCTTGCTTTGTGACCCAAGATGGAGGTCACAAACATATCCTGGAAAAGGTTCCATGTGCACTTGAGAAGAAAATGTATTCTGCCACATTCAGGTGGAATGTCCTATAAATATCAATTAAATCTGTCGGGTCTATTGTGTCATTAAAGCTTGTGTTTCCTTATTTATTTTGTGTTTGGATGATCTTTCCATTGGTGTAAGTGCGGTGTTAAAGTCCCCTACTATTATTGTGTTACTGTCGATTTCCCCTTTTATGGTTGTTAGCATTTGCCTTATGTACTGAGGTGCTGCTATGTTGGGTGCATAAATATTTATAATTGTTCTATCTTCTTCTTGGATTGATCCTGTGATCATTACGTAGTGTCCTTCTTTGTCTCTTGTAACAGTCTTTATTTTAAAGTCTATTTTATCTGGTACGAG